GGAACGCTGTTATAAATGTAAATGAGTACCAAGGTAACTGAATGAGGCAATAAGTGGACTTTCTAAAGAACTTTCACAGTATTAATCAAACAGTAGTTACAAACAGGTCACCTGCTGCTCATCGAATATGGCCAGTAATGAAAGCATATCTTTTCAAAAGGTAAAAACAGATGAAGTGCCCATCTGAAGTTTAGGATGTTTGAACATCAGTTGCAGATGCAGAAAAGTGTCGAGGTCGGTATCTGGTGCATCGTAAATCCTAAGCCATATTTTATTCTTCTACCTTGCACAATTCTAAAAATTAGTTGATAGGAATATAGTTTGAGAATTCAGCAAGGCTAAACCATATGGATTGAAGTAAAAAATTGAAATGGAAATTAGAGACTTTGTACGAAATAGTCTGATGTCATACAGTGATAATTCTGCACAACCTCTGGGTTTACAAAGCATATTATATGCACATCTCTCTAATACAAAATATGGTTTGGGATCTCAATACCTAAAATTGATGTTTTTTTTTCATGCAAGATAAATACTTTTATAATGAGGGCATGAAGTCTTAAGCCTATTCAGCTGACACTTTCTGACCACTTTATTGTAATCCTATTTCCTTTGCTTTAGCTCTTTTCTGAAGTAGCAGCTCACTTTTTGTATCGTAAAGTCCTTGATAATTTTAATATGTCTCTCTTTTTGATGGACAGATGTTTTCTGTCATCTTCAATAGAATTTCCAGAGATAGGCAGTTAGGTTAATGAGATTTATTATTATTTATCTTTTTGCAAAAGACCCTTTAAGTCATTGTGGTGTCATTCAAAGCCACAGTGCTAGTCATCAAACTCATTTGTGTCTAAACTCCCTTAAGACACACAGGTCAGTGTGTATCTAGTAACTTTAGTTGCATTTCATGTGTCCTTGTCTGTATTCTTTGATTCTACTTATTAATTTGTATCATAACTAACAAACTAGTTGTCTTGGTATCTAAAATATGAAGTATCCTAAAAATCCAGGTGTTAGTTAGCTAAGAGCTATTAAAGAAAAAAGTATTCACCCTTCATGTGAATAACAAAATAAATTATTTCTAAAATCCCCTTTAAAAAGTTCTTTCCATTACTGTGTGCAATGAGTTCCAGGTAATGCTCAGAACAGTCTTTTTGAATACTTATTTATATGCATAATTGCAATGTACAAGATAATACTTAATGGGCATCTGCCTTTTAATACTTCACCCAGTAGGCTGTAAAATAATTGATTAATTTTTCAATAATAATGCAAATTTACTCTGAGGCTGTGTGAAAGAATCTGGAGAGACATCACATTTATGCAAATTTTGCCAATAGCATATTTCCTTGCCTTAAATTTATTTCAGCCTTGAGGATCTCAAGCTCTGGTAAGTGTCACAATCACCTGGAGAAACTGGCAGATATACACATACCCCGGCCACTTCTAACTGAAAAAGTCAGGTCTTCGCCTAACTATAGCACCTCACATGTTTCTGATATACACCAAAGCTTGAGAGCTACTGACTTACGCTTTAGTATGTGACTATCTCATAAAAGAAATATCCCATTGGTGTAAGCTTTGGGGCAACCAAAGGATATGAACACCTGACGTGGTAATAGCAAAAACACTCCTGAAAACTATTATAGCCAACTATGCATATGAGGAGGTGAGTTGTAGTTCTAGTCAATGACCACACACTCAGTGAGTAGATTTAAGGGCCCTTATGTAGTGAATGTCTCATCCTGCCTTGGGAATGGAATAGGACTTGCATGTGCCCCCAGTTCTGCAGAGGATAAGAATCAAGAATTCTTTTAAAATAAATCCTTGTTGAGTTTTCCCATGACCCAATTAGGACTCTAGGTTTCCCAGAACTTCCCCAACCAATAAACCTGCCAATTAAGCGACTGAATATCATTATTGTGAATGTAATTACAGACAGTAATTATAAGCTTGTAAATGCCTCCCATGAATGGAGCCCTTTTCCCAAATGATCTCAAGCACTTTTCTTAGAAAAGTGGAAGGTAATCCTATCCCTTGCCTCACCCCAAACATAGCCTCCCTTGCTTAGAAGAAACCCCGTTTTGGCTGGCCCAAGGGACCTACTGAGCAAGTTGTAATGGGACATGCTTCAAGGCTGAATGTCCCCTTGGGGTACAGCGCTTTTCAGTACCTTTCATCTAAATACTGCTTCACAAGGCAGCGGTGACTACCTGGTTAGGCTGCACTTCTTCATTTCTGGTGGGTCTGGGGAATTAGTAGCAGTTTAAGAATTTCTGTGGAAAAGTCAAATGTTGGAGGCCTTACACAATCGTGTGAGAACTTTCACATTACTCAGGTTGAGATTTACAAGGACCAATTAGCTGGAGATGTAGCCCAAGTCTCTAAAGTAAACGAGTGACCGTAGAAACATGCATGAATGTGAAGGCAGCTCATGTCTCTAGAAATAAAATGAATCTCTTTAGGCCCGGAATTAACCCTTGCGTTCAGTCACATTATATTTAGCTCATGAAAACCTTAAACCTTCATGGATAATAGGTATTTGAATAAGCTCTTCATAGATGTGTTTATCTTGAAATGCAATACGCCTCTGAAGATCTCAATCTGTTCTTTCCTTTAAATGGATAGTGAGAGTGTCTGTAATTGCACCGGTAGCCGGTGTGGTTGAAAAGTGGAAGAACTCAGTCCAGACCTTTTTTTTATTCACCATGCGGTGAATAATGCCGTATCAACTCTGAGGAGAAAGTACCCATCTTTATTTAACTTACCTGATACAACGCTTTGCATAGCCCTTTACATAACACGAATTTGCAGAGCTCTTGTCAGATAAGATCAAATGTTGCCCCAAAGCTAGCACATGATATGTTTTTAAAGGAGGCATTTCTCACTAGCTACATTAAGCTACTTCAAAGCACAGCATTTCCATTTCGTATGACAAATAAACTACATGCTGATTGTTACTTTTTTTACTGTTGGCTGCAATCTTCTCCTAGAGTAGAAGTAGAGCGTGCATGAGCGTCAGAAATGTCTCAGAATAACATAAGAACTCAGAAGCGTAAATGCAACTCTAAAAGTGAGAGCTCTTTAAACCTTGGGAGAAACCACCCTGGCCAACCTCAGCTGAAGACCTCTGGTAGTGTTAGAGAGGCTGCTTATGAAAATCTATAGCATCTTGATCTTTACATTAAATAATTTGCAATTCCTTTTAAATGCTGGGAAGGCAGTTCAAAACTCCCTGTGCTAAGTGCAGGTCAGGATGGAGTTGACTCTGTAGGTCACCCACATAGATATGGGTGCACACAATCTTTTGGTAATTTCAGTATAAAAGAAAATTCACATATAACTTATATTCTTCTAATCACAATATATGATCACTTTAAGAGCAGTCTGTTTTTTTGTTTTTTTTTTCTAATGTTGACAATGGCCTAAGAATTTCTGGAAATATGGATGACCAGACTTCTTTTTTCAATGTAGATAACATGTATACATATGGAAACCGCATATGTCTATGTACACTTGCTTATTTTTATGTTTCATATCCACCTACAGTAAAGATATTAAAAGAGGTACAATTTGCTATCAGGGAAGGGTAATATGTGAAATTCTTTTTTTTTTTTCTTTTTATTGAGGTTATTGGTACAATCTAGGTATACAATACAGTTACATTCATCATTGGGATTCTGTACCTTTGCATAATAGGTCTTGTTTCTCATTTTTTCCCCTTGTCCCTGCCCTCCCTCCACCCCTTCCTCCCCTCCCCATTTACAAACACTTTATTTCCATTTTTTCAGTTTCTCATATTTTTTTCCTCTCCCTTATTACCTTTCCCCCACCCTTCCCACTTTCCCTACAGCTTTAGCCCTTTACTTTCTATTTCACATTATTAATTGTCTCATTAGGATCCTGTGTACTATTATAGTTTTTCACACCAGAGAAACTATTCGGTATTTCAGTTAAAGAAATCTCTGCATGAACATTAAAAATAGGGAATCCTAAAATAAAACTAAAAAGGAAAGTAAAAGAGAAAAGGCAATGATGTAACATCAAAATAATCCTTAATTCTGGAGATGAAAATGGTCCCTGAACATATTTAAATTGCCTCTCGCTCTTATAGTCTTATCTTATTAATTATACAGCCTTATTCTATTTGTTTCCCATTTTCAAGAAGGCAGGCCCTCAAGTTCCTATAAATTAAACAGAAAAAGGGTATAATATACATAAATAGTTACATAGTAACCCAGCCAAAGAGATCTGGGATCATCATTTTGTAATCAGGGCTTTTCATTCTCCCTACAGCAGAAGCACTACCTGCCTCCTTTCGTCTGATCTCATTACCAACTTGGGACCACTTTGAAATTCATAAAAGTTCTCTTTGCAAGATCCAGTTTTGTGATTTGTACTTTTAGTTTGTGGTTGTGGGGGGTTTGCCCCCACTACGTTGTTGCCATCAGGGTGGTAAAAATAACCGTCACTCTCCATGTAAAAGCAGAGTTGTCATTCTCCATGAGGCCACGTGAGCACGTCCCACTCAAGTAACAAGGTGTCACTCGGCAGCCAGTGATAAAGCCCAAGTCAAATAAGGTTATAACCTGGTTGTTTTATGTCCTAAGGATCTGACCTGAGATTACAGCCAGACCGGGCTCTCAAGACCTCAAATGGTCATCTAAGTAGTAACATAAACTAATGTAAACTTGCTCTGAGGCCATTGTTGTGGCAGTGGAACTAGCAAAAGTGCAGTCTTGCCATGAAGGAGCTAATGTCGTGCTAGGCACTAAAAATAAGGAGGGAATATGTGTTGATTACTCCAACAGGCAATCCAGCTACAGAGGCTAAATGCCTAAGGCTGACAAAGTCTGCATCTTATCACTGCTGTCAAGTGGAGGTGCATGTGAAAACTGTCAGCCCCAAAGCACTGAGAAACAACTTGCCTTCCAAAATCCTGCATCTTGGCAAAATCCTGACAATGCCAACAGCTCGGCATCTCATATTTTTCTACCCTCCAGAAAATGGCCTTCCAGCCTGGGACAAACCAAAGCACTGTCCAGACCAAGAGCAAGACTGGAAGCTAGTAGGAATGTCCGAAGCCTGCCTGCACAGGAAGAGCCACTCCGACAGGCACAGCACACTGAAAAATGAGCAGGCATCGCCGCACCTCATCCCGGCCACTTGGACAAACTCCATCTTCCATCTGGACCACGATGATGTAAATGAACAGAGCGTCTCGAGTGCCCAGACCTACCAAACAGAAGAGAAGAAATGTAAAGGTAACCATATTCTATTAGACCATTATCACAGATTTCAACGAAGGAAAATAACCCCCTTGTAGGTGCTCATCTGCATTTCTTTCCATGCATGGTTTCGATGGGTTTTCTCCAACTGTTCTGTCACAAAGTTTCTTCATCCTCCAATCTTCTTTTAAACATAAATAAGTAAGTGTGATGCAGAAGAAAACAGTCCCTTTCAGTTTCGTATCGTGTTGGGACACTTGGGAAAAAAACATTTTTCTTTAATTAGCTCAAGGGTTGTTGGTCTTGGCCTTAACTCTGTGTTTGGATGTAAGTAGAAAAGCACATTGCTGTGTATATAACTCATCGCTTTGAAGTGTGTGTGTGTGTGTGTGTGTGTGTGTGTGTGTATACGCACGTGTGTTTCTTTTCTCAATTTTGCCACTAGTTGAAGCAATTCCAATGCCAAATAGACAATTCACGCTCAAAAGAAAGGTTTGAAATTGTTTTCTTTTGCTCATTAAATCCTGTGTCATCATCCTGAATGGAGAGATTATGGGGTTAGTAGGTTGTTACCTCATAAGAAAAAAAAATTAAACTGGCCTGAGTTCCTGATCACATGAGATTTAGCTATTCTTTACCTCCGGTTGCCCTTACCCTGACAGATGTCTTTGTGCTGATCACTTTATTGTCTTAGGGCTCCCAAAATCTTTGCTTAAGTCAGTTTGCATTTTTAGGTATCCGAGAAATCAATTTGAGTGTTTAAATGTACAAGTTCATGTAACTTTCCATTCTTTCCTAATTTAAAGGAGGTTTTTTTTTTTCCCCTTGAAAAGGTTGCCTTGGGGGTTTTGTTAAGGCTTATTAACTCATGATAAAGTTTTGTGTGTTTGAATATCTTGCCATTATATCTAATAATGATTATTAGTTACTTGCTTCTACATATAAGCCAGTAGGACTTTACCAATTATCCTATCTTGAACATAAACATACAGTTATACTAATCATGCTTGCAAAAGCACTAAGGCCTCCTAGCTTTTCAAAGAAAACTTTGAAAGCTCTTGGTCACAAACACTTTATCTGTAATATTGAGTGCACAGATTATTTCAGTTGGAAACAGGGTTATCCAAAGATAATGGTTCGTGTTATGCCCTCTGATTTGAGTGCAGTCAAAACTATACGTGTTATGTTTGAACTATTGGCCATATTTATTGTTTAGGAGATTTAATAAATGGAAAGGAATATTTTTTTAATTTAAATTTTATTGAGTTTATTGGTACATTTTAGGGATACAGTACAGTTACATTCATTGTTGGGATCATGTACCTTTACACGGCAAGTCTTGATTCTCATTTTTTCCCCTTACCTCTGCCCTCCCCTCACCCCCTCCTCCCCTCCCCATCTACAAACACTTTATTTTCATCTTTTCATTCTCTCACATTTTTTTCTTTTCCCTTTTTGTTCTTCCCCTACGCATCACACCTTCCCTACACCTTTAGCTCCTTTCTTCAAATTTCTAAATGTCAGTAATCTTATTAGAATCTTATGCATTGTTGCAGAATATTCACACCAGGGAAACTATTTGGTATTTACACATGTGTGACTTATTTATTTCACTTAGGAGTATATCTTCAATATGTATCCATTTTCCTATGAATGAATCTATTCTCTCGCTCTTTATGGCTGAGTAATATTCCATTTTATAGAAAAACCACAACTTCTTTATCCAGTTTCCAACGGATGGGCAAATAGGCTGTTTCCAAGATTTAGCTATTACAAACTGTGCCGCTATAAACATCGGTGCACATACTTCTCTGTGATATGATTCTTTTAGTTCTCTTGGAAAGATACCCAGCAGAGGGATGGCTGGGTCAAATGGAACCTCCAGTCCAAGCTCTTTGAGGTATCTCCATATTGATTTCCATAGTGGTTGCACTAGGAAAGGAATATTTTTAAAAATAGTAAAATACAGTTTTCCAAGGAGGTTGTAGGACAGGTGTGTCTCTACGTTTGTTTGAAATACAACTGAGATTTGGCTTTTACCATTTGTGACCAGATTGTATCTTCAAATTTTAGTATATGTGCTGCTGAAGTGAGCACATGTATCTTCAAATATTATAGACTCTCTTAAAACCTACTCAGTTCTTGGTTTATAGTGAAGTGCCAATGGGAAACTTGAGTAACCCCAGGATTTCAGCACCTCGTGAACTAAATTTGATTCATTCACCATTAGTACCCATCTTCATTTGTTCATTTATTTTTGCACAGAATAGGTTTGTGTCTTTACAATTTATGAGAAATCCTGGCCTTGAGTTCCCAGCATTCTCAACATTACACTTTTCAGTTTGTTGGTGAGCCTTAAACACAAGAGGAAACGTTGTGTGGATCCAAGATCCTAAGCAGTACAATAGCTAAGACCACAAATTTCTTACTTATTTGAGTTAGAATCCTAGCCCTTTTACTTTGTTCTTGAACAAATTTATATAATTTTGATATAACTAAATAAGATAGTGTATTTGAACAGTTAACACTGTAGCTGCCATAAAGTGCTCTCTATAGAACAAGTATTATTATTCCTGTGACCATTATTATTAGCTATGCATCATTAAATCACATAAATTTCATGAACTGGTAAAGAGACAGAACAAGGGGAGAATGACAGCTAAGTTTGGAGTGGGCCACGAAATTTAAAGGAGGTTAGAATATTCTTTTACCTCTCTTTCACTGAGATTATTAAAGTATATCCTTATTAATCTAGTATTAAAAGAAACACTACTAAGGTAAGCTCTTCAGTGGTTTTCAGACATACCAGTGGGGTTAGTTAGATACCTATGTATAAGGTCTCATTCAGCATGAAAATGTTACCAGGAAAGGTGGCCCAAGAATCGTGGAAACTGAATTTCACTCCTTCTTAGTGAACACCTATATTGAGTGAAGCCAGGAAAACAAAGTGATTAGTCTGACTTTTCTCTTTGCTGTTGGTTCTCTATTATGTTGTACTTGTCTGCTGTCTTTATATAGTGACTGAGAGGAACCTGCTATTTGATATCAACTTATACTGAGCATTTATTTCCAGTAGGTTGCTTGTCTATCCCCCATGCATGTATGATATGTCAATCTGGGCACAAGTTCCATGAATGCCTCCATCAGTATTTATTGAGCACTTACTATATGCAGGACATTGGCCTGAATGTTCAAGCTTGAAGAAGCAGCAGTTGAACCCAATAGACCATTTCATGGACCCAAATATAATGGATAAGAACCAAATGGTCCTGAAGGATACAAGAATTTAAGTCTTCAGTGCAGGATCCAAAACAATAAACTGACTACTTCAAGTTGTGCAATCTCCAAAATCAATAATAGGCAGACTAGACCCATGCTCCTGTAAGTGTTGTCATGAACCGGTACCTTCTGCAGATTATTTGTTACTGCTCTCTCTACTGATGAAGCTACAAAATCAAAAGTAAGCTTTAGAAACCAAAAGCATTTTGGCCTTGCCGCTGGCATCTGAATGCATGATCAGTGGATTCTTTCACTGAGCACAGTGTTGGGTGTTGAGTATTTTCAGCCTGCCTGGTCAGTTGTGTTCTTCCAGAACTATGGAAACGTCTTACACAGTAGAACTGTGCATTACATGGGATTTTTAAAAAGGTGTTTCACCTCAAATGTGTATATTGTGCTCACTTTTTTTCTTTAGGCTTATGTTTAGTACGTATCTAATATTTATTTTTTATTTTGCTCTAAATACTGCTTTAATTGCAGTTTGCATACCTGTTTTGCTTATCTGCTGCATACATCCTGAGTGATACCCACTGACACACTGGACTAGGATGAGAACGCCAGAGCCCTTAATCTAAATCTGCTCTAGCATCAAGGGATATTCCAGCCAGAAGCCAGTGGCCCATTCCCTCCCACAATGCAGCCCTTTTACCTGCACCACTCCTTCTATCTCCATGCTATACTTCCATGAGGTTTTTGTCACAATTTGGACCAATCGCTCTGTTATAAGGACCAGTGTACTCCTTGCACCTTGTCCCTTCCCAGGGTCTGAAATGATATGTTCAGTGCCCGACATGCACCAGTCAGTGACACTAACATCACTGAAGCTTGTTAGAAATGAGAGTCTCAGGCCCCTCCTCAGACTATGAAATCAGAAAAGCGGCAGATAGGGGCCAGGGAAGCTGTGTTTTAACCAGCCTCCTGGTGACTCTTAAGAGGTCTCAGGGCCGTGAAATGTTTGAGAATAGCTTCCGCTCTCCAGCTAGGAAAGGGTCTGCCACCTAGTGGGCACTATGGGAGCACGCGTTCTTCTTTCTTTGGTTGCACCTGGGGAGCCCTTGAGACGGTCCATTCTTGCTTGGATTTTTTTCTTTTCTTTTTTTGTACCAGGGATCGAACTCAGGACCTTGAGTTTGCAAGGCAGTCACGGTGCCACTGAGCTAAATCCCGGGCCCTGCTTGGACCTTTCTTTAGGCCTCGCTTACCATAAAATGGCCAGCTGGACAGTCTGCTTAATCATTCCTCCTGGTAATATGTCCCGCTAAGACTTGAGCCCTTCTGAGAGTCCCACACTGACTGGGGCCTTCATCCTCCTCTGAGTTTTCACAAGGCGCCTCCCCTCTGCCCTCTTCAGGGCCCCTGAACTTCTTTCCAGGAACCATGGGGTCTCACTAGTCCCTTAAGGACTAGTCCTTGGCAAATGAATGGACTCCTAGGGCGGGACCTCACTGACCTGACCTGATCTGACCAGACCAGCCCAGAACAGCGCCACTGAGTTAATAGTTAGGCCTCCACGTTCTGATGTGCGCTCTGGATGTGAATCAGGGACCTTCCTGCAGTGCCGAACTCTGATTGGAGAAATGAGGCGGGGATTGACCTGGCCTCCCTTGTTCCATCAGAGGAAGGATAACGAATCTTGTGATCTCACTGAAATTTCTCTGTAGATTTGCTCTGTGCTTAATGTTTATTTAAAAATGAGTCTCAGACACCTAGGAAGGTAAAAGAAAATAGTCAAATATTAATAAGTCTTTTTCATTGTA